GCTCAGGTTACCGTCCACCCTAATACCCTCCCACCAAGACCTCACACATCCCTGGAAATCCTTATCCCGTAACCGCATATTATCAAAACGAAAAGGAGCATTCATCATCCTTAATCCACCAAAGTCTAAAACCACAGGAATATGATCAGATGTCGGTCTAGCCAAAGCTGCATGTACCATGTCCGGAAACTTCTCTTCCCAGTCTCCCGAGAAAAGAAAATGATCCAATCACACCAAAGTAGGAGACTCTCTACAACTCCCCCATGTAAACATAGCTCCCTCCAGTGATAAATCATGCAGGTGGTAACCGTCAATGAACTCAGAAAACTACTCTATAGCCGATGTCCATCTTCCTCCTGTTGATCTCTCCATAGGGGATCTGACAATATTGAAATCCCCCCCACCTACACACACACACCACGGCAAACACCATTAATCCTTCACCGTCCCTAACTCCTCCCACAAAATGTGCCTCTCCCCATCCTCAACTGGGCCATACACACCAGAAAACATCCAACAGAAACCCATCTCCTATCCCACATCAACAAAATACCCCCAGACGTTCCCAAGGCATCTAAAATCTCCCACCCAACAAAAAAAAAAAAAAAAAAAAAAAACTCCTCACAACCCTATCTGACATGGAAGCCATCTTTGTCTCTTGCATGTACACCCCACTTCTTCACCGCCGTCTTCACCACTTTTCTTTTGTCTGGGTTATTGAGTCCTCGGACATTCCAAGAAATAATTCGGCACTTCATCAAGAAAAAATGGATAACCCTTCCCCTTTCCTTCTCCCTCTACCCCTTTCATGGCTCCTCTTCCTCTCAGCTCCATTACTTCCCTCATAATTCACACCGGAAAACAAGCTGTGAACCTCCCTTCCCCCTCTCCACGGAGTCAACCTCTTTTCCTTACTCACTGTCCATTTCCTGCTACCCTTTCCTCCCCAGTCTTCCCCTTGGCAATTGAATGCAAATCATACGAGCCTCTTCCTTTGGCTCAAAGGAAATCCCCAACGAACTACTCACACTATCAATATTCTCCTTTACCCAATCCACCCCACTATCCTCATGAGCTGCAACAGGAAAACCCCTCCAACTCCCCTCTGGTTGTATCTCAGAAAGTGGTTCAATGAACTGCAGGACCTCAACCTCCTCCCATGAAACCAACAACTCCCTGTCAACGAGCGCATTGTCCTCTATATCCCTAGTACTGTCTTCATCAGCAGTGCTACCCACTCCAGTACAAGTAGGAGTGCCTAAATTACCATCCAAGTCCTCCCCATTTGCATCAGAACTAAAATCCAAAATTCGGTTCAGTCCATTCAGCGCCTTGTAAGCATGTAGCTTCATTACCAAGTTTGAACCTCATATTTCTTCCCACACAAACCGTCACCCCATCAACATCTCCACAATCAGACCTCTAGAACCATCCCCCCAGGGCGTCGCATTCCTTTTTGACAAACCGGGGCACCCACTTTCGTTCATCCTCCCATCCTTCTCCTCATCATCAGCCACCCCTTCCATTACAGGCGAAAGTCTCCGATTTTTCTCCCCCACTGCCCCCCTCAACACCCAACAAGGAGTAGAAGAAGGGGTAGAGAGAATTTTTTGAGATTGCAGAGAATGATACATACCAGGTCCGCATTCCGTATGATTACGAATTACCCATTTTTGTTTTTCATGACGTGACCATCGCCTTTCATGACGCCACTGTGAAGCATTGGATTGGCCATTACCATCAGGAAACTCAGCCACTGAAGAGAGAGGCCCGAAGCTGTTCTCTGGAACACTCTTACAACACTTATCATGCCGAAAATTCTTCCCTCTTGCACCCAACCCAGTATTTCTTGTCTACTAACCTTCACCCAGTTACTCTTCTCTGCCGCAGACCAATGTCTACACTTAGACCCATGTTGCAGCGGAGATGCCGATGTCCTCTTGTCTCTCTGTGAGGATGTATACACTTTATACTTAACACCTCTCCTTTCTCTATCTTTCGTATCAGCATAAGAGGTGGGCATCCCTAGTAATGAAATGGATAGTCCCTTATTATTGGATCCCCACTGGACCACCCTCTTTCTACCTTGAAGATCAACAAGTCCAGTCTGGCCCAAACGTCCATTAAAGTTGGGCCTATCAGGCCCAACACCAGCATCAGATGCTGAGGACGCAGCCACTGGCCCAGCAAAGCATGCTTGAACATTTGAACTAAAATATAAGCCTAAATATCTGATTTTTTTAATATAAAATTATTTTATAAAACTACTACTTTTTAAGCAATTATGTAATTACGTCATATTACTAAAAGTTATTAAACACTTCATATTTACACTTCAACCCAACTTTTTTTTCTAATGCTTTATTGAAAATCTCCAATATACCCGAAGAATGGGACGCGTGTGTCGGACACATATCCATGGCGTGTTGGAAATGTGTCCATGACGTGTTCGTACCATGTCCAAATATTCGGGAAAAAAAAGAGGCAAGACGTTTTTTGGCATATCCTATGCGTGTCGGTGTCCGACATGTCCTGAAGAATGGGACATGTGTGTTGGACACATATCCATGGCGTGTTGGAAATGTGTCCACGACGTGTCCGTACCATGTCCAAATATTCGGGGAAAAACATGTCCGATGCGTGTCGGTGTCTGACATGTGTCGGACACTGATTCTTTATCTTTAGTTGTTGTGGACAGATTCTCTAAGATGGCATGCTTCATTTTCTGTAGCAAAATTGGCTATTCCTCGAATATACAAAATTGTTTTTTAGGAATGGGTTACCTACTTCCAAAGTTTCTGATAGGGATGTTAAGTCATCTGTTACTTTTGAAAGACACTTAGAAGCTTTGTGGAACCAAACTCGAATTCTCCACAGCTTTAATGAAAACAAATTTATAATAGGGAAACTGCATATAGATGGACTTGGTAGTCTCAAATACCCAAATCGTGGACTGTGTGTTGATTTTTTCACTTTGGTTGAGTTAGCAAATTATTTTCAAATGCATGGAGAATCACTATTAACTCTTCTTTAATGTTTAGAATGCTCTCGAACTTTGATTGTGAAATTACCAAACTAGCCTCAGTTAAGTAGCGCACAACAAATCGTACTTTTTAGGGTGCTCGTAGCATATGCTAGAAATGATATGTTTGTTTTCTAGAAGGGGTACCTTAGAGTTTTGTGCTAGTACAAAATAGTTTTAAACGATGAAATACAATACCACATTTTGTATCAAAAAAAAGAAATACAATACCACATTTTGTACTTTAGTTACTGTTTTTTTTGTACATAAACGAACTAGTTTTAGTTTGGTAATTTCAAAATGAGAGCTGGACCGAGGGCATTCTGGACATGATGCATTTTGAAATTATTATTTCAAACTAAGTGAAAATTGGACTTGTATGTCTAAGGTGGCGGATGTGTGTTAAAAACCTTTTAGAAAAATAAATTGTACTTCCTATTCCATCTCATTCGATGAAATATGGAATAAATTGGAATTGATGATGGTGACATTTGTTCAATGGTGGAGATGTCAGGAGACATATTTGCAGTTAATCTGTTACAACAGGTATCGGGCTTTCAAATTCAATGGTGCAAATGGAATTTAGGGATTGCGTGATTCAATTTGAAAAATATTTTGTAGCTATTTATTTTTTTTATTTTTGATAAGTAAGAATTTATTAAAAACGCTCAAAAAGGGGAGCGAAGCCCAAAGAAACAAAAGGAACAAAAGGGCCAAAGGGCTTAGACCTTCAGAGAGGCCAAGAAAACAATAATTTCCTATTTTGTAGCTATTCTTGATTTTCAGAATGTCTGTCTTTTTGTTTGATTTTTGTATGTGCTAATGGTTTTATAAAGTTTGTTATACAATATTATTCATATTAGTTCTATAGATTATGCATGTATTTGTTCTGTGTTATACCTGTTTTTTTATATGGACATCTTTATGAGCATTGAATTATTACTAAATGCATTATTGTCTGCATGTTGTATTGACGTGGTCTATGATGTAGATTGGGTGGCAGAGTGCCCCAACTCTCTTACGTTTTTTTAGGTTTGTAGGCGCATTAACTTGCTTACATTTGCATGTTTAAGTGTATTGTATTTGGGGTTTTGCTGCTTAAAATATCGAGTTTTGGATAAACATCTTCTTTCTTTCTATTCTCTAAGTGCATCATGGACTACTCGTGTTCAAGACAATTCTTGAAGTAATCCTTATGTTCTCAGTTAATTTCTATCTGATCCTTGATATTGATGTGCTTTATCAATGCACCTTGCCCTTGACCTTGAGAATAGCGTAGTTTTGTCAAATTACTCGAATAATAATCATTAACATAGAATATGCAAGGTAGTTTGTGCATATATTATTGCACGTATACAGTTCTGTTTTTGTTTCTTGATTTTTTAGGGTGGCGTGTCACTTACCTGTACTCATTTCAACATCATAATTGTAATTATAAATGTATATGCCAGCAACTTGTGTTATAGAGCTGTTTGATTTTTATAATAATTGTAATTATAAATGTATATGCCAGCAACTTGTGTTATAGAGCTGTTTGATTTTTATAGTTAGTAAAAAAAAATTAATTTACTACTGAAGGGCTGACTCCATCCGTATGTGATAAAGGCAAGGATGATGATGATGATGATGAATTTACTACTGTAAGGGAATCTCTCGTGCAGCATGAGTGCTTTTCCATAAGCAACTAAAACAGTCGGAACTATGTTCGTGAAGTCTTTTCATTAAAACAAGAATAAATAAATAAAACAAAATTACAGCTTGTCGTTTGCATCAGACTGCTTTCTAGTGGCCTCAAAACTTGCTAGTGTTGTATACACTTGGAATCCCTTTTCATCTTGTTGTAGAAGCTTGATTTTAGGTTTCTTGAAGGATATAAGACACTAAAGCAAAGAAGCGATGTAGAAATTTTTTTTTTTTTCTTATAATTTCTTATTATTTGGTTGCACAAGTAACTCAAGTTCTGACTTGTTTTGTGCAGAATCGAGTTACCAACAAAATTAATGAGAAAAGGTGGGCTATGTATAAATTTCTTCCATTAGCATCGCCTGTTTTAACACTGGCACGACCGGACTATACATTCGAGTTGACGGATAAATTCACATCCGTGATACCTTTTTATCGGTTTCCATTGACGAAGAAGATGGGACCGGCGGCGAACAGAGCTATGAAAATTCCACCTTCATTTTTTCTGACTCTAAAAGATTTTGCAGCCTTTGGATTAGCAATCAAGAGAGGGTTAACGCGCATATGATTTGCCTAAGCACCATTTTCGAAGGTAATTGTGGTATCTTTCCTTCCCTTTTCGGGTTTAAGGGAACTCGTACATCAAATCATTAACGTAGAACGTATCCTTTGCATTAGTTTTGTCAAATTAGTTGAAGTTTGGGAATTTGTACAACAGTAGAAGATTTGCACAACAATTGAAGTTTGGTTCTCATGGTGTTTTTTTGTTAATGACGTTCATACAAGTAGATTAGTTTTTCTTTATTTTGTTAAATTCCTTTGATGGGAAATTGTTTTTATTCTAGGTTGATGGCATCATGTTCTTTACCAGTCGTTTTTTTTTTTTTTCTTTTTTTTTTTTTCCAGAGATTTGCAATTCGACCAGGTTCAATATTCGTTTTTAATAGGGTTTGCAAGTGGGCAAACTAGGGTGGGTCTGTCAAGTCAGTAAATGGACAGACAAACCCAACTCCAACCCGCAAAGATACAATACTGTTATTCTTATTCTTTAATCCTACAGTGTTTTTTTAGACGGTAAAAAGTGAATTTTTTTTTTTTTGTTTTCAATCATCAAGTGACATCCTAACCAGGTAAAAGTTCATTTATGTTTCATAGTATTTAATATAGCCATTTGATTCGTTTTGAAGCTATAAGCTATAATATGATCAGACCTAGATGTGGTGGCAATTTGTGCTCGTGGGTTATAACTATGTCTTAAATTTGACCCATTTAATAATCATGTCAATAATTATTAACAGTAACTTGACCTGACTTGTTTATTAAACGGGTAAACGTATTAATTTATTTAATGATTTATTTATTAAAATCAGATATTTAATATTTAATTAAATAATAAATAATAGAAAAGTTTTCATAATTATTCTAATTATTCAAAATAAGAAGAAAATTCATAAGGTGTAAATAAGGTTTATGTTGAAATGATTGATAATAATTGGGTTTAAATATGTAATATATTACATAAGAAAATTCATAAGGTATATTTACGATTATAATGTGTTGAGTTAAATGGGTTATGTAGATTGAATCTTTTAACTTTAATCGGACAAGATAAAGTAAATGGTTTAATTGTGTCAACCCGTTTATTATTCGAATTATTTTAAGGTCCATCCAAATTTGTTTCTCGAATTGTGTTTTAAAGTCCATCCAAACTCGTTTCGCTGGTGGGTCGTGTACTAATTTGACATCCCTTAACCACACCAAAGGAACATAATATTGTGGACTTGATGCAGATTAAAGATTGTAGTTAACCACCACATACATACTCAAGCAAGAGCTGTTGAGAGGTGGGACCCACATTGTGAATTGTTAAATATCTGTGATTTGGTGCCTATTTGGGGGAGCTTCCTAAAGGCTTGAAACCGGCTTCCAAGCCCATGAAGGCCTTTCTTAAACAACGTTGATGCTTGGTGAAATAATAAAAAAGGAATTCTAGCAAATGCGGAAGTCTTAAAAAGTCCGTTCAAGTGAAGTTAGGAATACTTGCTTTTAAAACTTAATTCATCGGAAGCCAAACTAATTTTAAGTAACAAATTTTATAGACAAGTTTGTCCCTTTATATTCCTTGAAATTAATCAATTTATATCACTCTATAAACCAGAACGATGAGAGATTCATAGTCTTCTACTCTCAACCAAATTCCAATACTTTGATATTTTTTCTATTTTAATTATTTCTCTAAGAATTCTAGATAGGTTGCAATTCTTCAAACATATTGCTAAATTTTTAACCATAGGTTAACCTTAAATTTTTAATTCTCACTATCTACTTTTGAAAACTCTAATCTCTCTTCACCTGTATTTCTCTCTCTATGAATTATCTTACACTTACTAATTGTGTCACTCATCATTTTCTTGTCATATAAAGATTGTTTGCCAACAATCTCCAGAGAAGAATTTCAGGAATAAAAGTTGATTTTATAATAGAGAGATCTTCTGTTTATCAAGTTGTTATTAATAATTGATTAGCACAACAATAATAAAATTATGAATCCATCATCTGCTGATATTTAGTACGGCATCACTTTATTTATTTATTTTTCACTTTTTCATTTTCTTCATTCTTGCTATATGCTAATTCAATTGCTAACAGGTTTGTACTCTTCTTCAAAATCTTCCTGAAAATTGTTTTAAGGGTAGATGTTATGGATAAAATTGTCAAGTTAAAATTATAATAATTGTAGAAGAAATTTGATCTATTACATCCACCAAATAACTTTTTTCTTTTAAGTTTGTATATTGAAAGGCATTCTTCAAAGTCCGTCGTTTAAAATAGAATGAGTTTTTAAAATTCAAAAAGCTCCCCAAACGTAGCCTTGATCTTTTAAAAGAAGCAACTAATGATAAAAGCAAAGAGGGGTCGGATTTTAACACGTTGCAAAGTATCCAAATTCATGTTTTGCACTTTAGGTGGCTTGTGTTGGACATAGATTCAGTTGAGTCCAGTTCACTTGGTAGACAGTCCAAATTTTGCTTGGTCCAGATTTTGTTATGTCTGACTTAATTCAGATTTAAGTTTGATTTTGTTTCACCCATCAACGGTTAAATTTAAATATTAAAAATTTTGACCCAAATTGTTTTGAAACCAATTTCATACCTTTTCAATCATGGTCAAAATTTTTCAAATCTTTGGGATTGCAGGAATATTACATGTCTCTACCATGTAAGTTTTGTACTATGTACCTTTTCCTCGACTTTATAGCACATAGAATTTAATTATTATTTTTGGGTCAAAAAATGAGAGAAAAAGACGAAAATAGAATGTAAAAGTAGTGGACTGGGACATAATCTTATAAATATAGTATATATTTTGTTGGTTCAATGAGCTTTTGATATTATACCCTTGCAAGTAGTTGTGATTGAAATACTACATCCAAATTATTATTATGAAGCAAATGTTAGCGTTTCATTCTTTAATTTTTGGATATATAATAAGAAGGAAAGAAAAAAAAAAGAAAAAGACTTCCTTAGTCCCCTGCATTAAATTGAGCTAATTGAACAACTAAATTAATCATAAATAATATTTCACAAATAAGATAAGAGAAAAAAAGAAAAACAAAAAGAAAAATAAGCATGTTTTAAGATGCAAGAAGTTGACACAAAGCTACTGTATCATCATCTACCCAAAACAAACAATGAAACAAATCATACCCGCTTTGTTCCCGAACTTATAACCACCGTCCATAGGATGGACAGCAAATCTTCACCACTGATTGCACCCGACACCAAAATGAACAAACAAACGTGACAAGACCCACCCACAAAACTTCATGCCTTCCTTAAGGCCCGACCTGGCCTAGACTGCATCGAAACAAACCCTGGCCTAAGCTAACAATTGCCATCAAGTACACCTCAAGAACCGCCTCGACCACCACCGCAAGGAGTCAACCGTCGTGCCAAGCTGCGCTGCTAACGTGCGCGGTACGTGAATGCACACCAGCATGATATCGTACACGCATATCGAGGTTGCCGGCGCCCTCCTCCACGTTCGTGGAGAGGCTCGGGAGCTTTCCGGATAATGACACCGCGGTGGAGCTGACGGCCATTACGGTGGCGATGAGTGAGAGAACGTAGCATGGGACGAAGTAGAGGGTCATGAGGCGGAAGAGCGAGAGAGAGAGAGCTTCCTCACGTGACTGTTTCCACATTTGCCGTACGTGTGGGGCTACCATGGCCAGATGGCTCGAGATGGTAGATTTAGGACATCATGGGGTGGGAACAGAGGAGGTGGGAGGGTGGTGAGGGCAAATATGGAAGAGAACAATTTCAAGTTTCTTTGGAAAATCTTTGTGCGTGTCGATCATCAATCGCTGACATGGTAAGAAGAAAAGTCAATGCAAGACCTCGTGGCAAAGTTGAAAAGTCAAGAGAGCCACGACAAGGCCTAGTACCAACTAGGCCCACTAAGCCTCGAAAAACAAAGACCTCGAGCATTCACAAGCCTTGGCATCAACCAGGCCTATTAAGCCTCGAAAGCAAAGACCTCGAGCACTCACAAGCCCTGGTACCAGCTAGGCCCACTAAGCCCTGAGGTTTAATCCTTGAGCATCTACAAACCCTGGTATCAACCAGGTCCACTAAGCCTCGAGGACTAATCTTCGAGCATCTACAAACCCTGGTATCAACCAGGCCCACTAAGCCTCAAAAGCAAATATCTCGAGCACTCACAAGCCCTAGTACCAGCCAGGCCCACTAAGCCCCGAGGTTTAATCCTTGAGCATTTACAAACCCTGGTATCAACCAGGTCCACTAAGCCTCGAGGACTAATCCTCGAGCATCTACAAACCCCAGAGAGCTCGCTATCAAAAGACCACAGTTCCCTGCACGGCACGAAACAAAGGTAGGGCCTTCGCAGCTTTGAGGGACCTAAGAATTGGGAAACTTAGGAGGATCTCGGATTGGTGGATGAGAAGTCAAGAAGCGTTTTCGCCCTTAGCAAGGCCCAATTAACAAGATGATGGGATTATATGTGCTATGACAGCAAAACTTAAAATCACATTTAATGCTATGTCAGGCTTGACCAACCGGCGGCCAAGTAACATTGATACAGTGCAAGGCTTGATGAGGGGGATTGGACCCCTCAGGCTCATAGGACCACCAGGACTACCCGTGTGATCCTAACTAGGAGCCATGCATGAAAGGGACCACTAGTTAATTACTGATGGAATCCGAGTCTATAAATAGCAGTATCCCATGAGGAAATGGGCAACCTGAAAAAGGAAGCTGTCATAGAGAAACTATATACTGGCCCTACCACTATCTTAGTCTTGAGAGTTGGTCTTCTTCTCATCCTCCTTCTTCAAGCATCTTCTCTGTTTCCCTCGTAGTTGTACCTTTGATATTGCTATTATACCATTTGTCTATTGTCTTAACTAAAACGAATCCTTACATTTTGGCTACTCTGCTGGGGATATCAGTGCAAGAAGATGGAATCACAGAATATGCAGACCCACCATTCGGAACCCTCTATGGGGGGAGGTGGTGGCATTCCCATCCAATCTCAGGTGCCATCACATGCTTCTAATACCGGAATACCTCACATTATACTGCCGGAAGACTCAACCACCTATTCTTTTCATGAGGAACTGTTGCGATCTAATCAACAACTCAACGACCGCTTAGACAAACTGGAGGCCATGATTATGGAAAACGCGCGAGCCAGAGCTGCCTCTCCCGTCAGAGCATCACTGCCTGAACAAAGCTGGCCAGACAGTTCATCCACACATGTACCACCATTGATGTACCCAC